AGCTTGCTGTCGTTCATTGGATTTGTTTAATTTAAGTATAAAATACAATGGTGTTCGTTCGTATTTTCTTAATCAGTCAGATCTCATATGGTTCGAAGAGTATCCATTTGATCCGCCTATTCATATATTGAATGGTTTTATTTATTCACTGATAGGCTTATATGATTTTACTCAAGTAAGTGAAAACTTTTTTTTCCTCATATAATTTAAGTCCTTCTCTATGGTGGCATGAACAGCTCTGAAGTCAGATAGTTGGACTGTTTATCAATAAGCATGCTGAAATATGTTCACTACCTTTAGTCTGTGGATATATCTGGTACAAATGGTTATTTCGACTTGAGTTTATTCAAACATTCGGTATGCGGCAGTTGGTGTGCGCTACAAATTCATATATTCTCGTGGCGCCGCCGTGCTTTGATGATATCAAATCAGCTCTTAACGATCATTCTGAATGTTTTTAGACACCAGCTAGCTACACTGATGGGCTTCTATCCTATCATTTAAAGTGGGTATTTGAAACATTTAGCCTATTCTCCGTTATATCATTGGAAAAAATTACACTGCGGTTATCACACTTCATTGTAGCACGTAAGGAGGAAGTAGACGGAAAAAGTAATAATAAGGTTGATAAATGTGTACGAGAAGAGAAGGGATGAAGAGTGATAAGATGCTTAAGACTTTGAAAATGACAAAGAGTGTATACATCTGTGATATTTTTTTTAACCGATTTTCAACTATGTCACTGATAGTCGCCGACTACTGATTCTTATTAATTCATTTACACATATCTATGTGGTTCAAACCAACGCTCAGAGGCTTCATCGACTTATACCAATTTTTGATCTCACTACTCTTCCAACTTAATCCTATTTTGACTAACATCCCGTTTTGGGGTAGACGATGACTTAGCATGTACAACACGTCCAAGCAACCTCAGTCGGTGAACGTTCACAACCTCATAAACTGACTGGAATGCCTTGCCTAGTACCGTTCGCTTAACGTTGATATTGCTTACAGCGCGATTTCACCATACGTGAGCAATATCTAGTCAAAACTTTACTAATGTTTAATATCTACTTCTAGAGACTGTTTCATAACTGCATAATATGCCATCGATCCTCTTAAACCACTCATGGGTTTCTACCGTATGTACTTGATGCTTCAGATGCATCAACACTCTTTAGCTCTCCAATGCATCTTTGCAGGTGACAAGACTGAGTTTATTAGACATTGAGATACTGGTCATATGGAGAAAACGTCCAATTATTTAAAACATGCAGCGTATTAATGAATGTATTTTCGACCTTCGAGATGTATCGGTAATTCTTGCCTCACAACCCGAATAGTTTTACTTTAAGTGTCATTACCTGGTGATGGGCTTGCATGAGGCACTTGAATTCAAATAAACAACTGTTCTTATGGGATTTATTCGGTTATTTTTCTCTGACGCGTGAACTTGACTAACACATTAGTTTAATTCTGTTATCATGCTATGTTTTATTTGTTCTGGTGATTTAACGTGACATGTTCTATCATTTCTGTTTATTTTAGGTGGCAGCAAGTAATCGAGACCCCTTGGTAGCATCTAGTTTGTTGAAAGCCCAAACGTTTTTGAATTCGGGACTGACAAGTTTGTCTAAATTACTCCCACTGTTTGACTCTGGCAGTGGCAGCTTTTATGACCTTCGTCATCTTTCAGCTGATCATATCCAGTCTATGAAGTACACTGAACCTAGAAATGCTAGAAACAATTTTCAGTTATCATCTGGTCCTAACAGAGCTCGTTGGAGTTATCATTCTTTACATATTCGGCAACTTCAAACTTTGGTTGATCTAGACCCGGAACATTCTGTTCAATGGCAAAATACAGCGAGTCGATGGATCGCCTATCTTCAAGGTTTTCAGTCTCTTCAGAATTAGTTTTTTTTCTCTCATTATCACCGGCAACTATGTTTGATGAAAAAACCAAACAGATTTTTTGTAAACATGACTCCTGGTGATCCTTCCAAAGCGCCCATCTACTCTACTTGCAATAATCAAACCCTTGTTACTCATAACCGATTTTCTCTCTCTCTCTCTCATATATATATATATATATATATATATATATATATATATATATATATATATATATATATATTCCTTATTTATCCTCTGTATGTATGAAAAGATTTTAAAAAACATGCATTTGTACTACTGTTTAAATTGCTGTTACTAACACCTGTTACCTATTTGACTTATTGTTACATTTTGACTATGATAATTTTGCCTTCTGTTTGGAAATAAACGTCACTTTTCAGCAGAAATGATCTTATTGATGTTCTTATTATGAATGTAGAAATTTAGAAGTGTTCATTAACTTCAAACATCGCTTTCATCACAGATGTCGTATATATGTTGAATAGACTACTGGATAACGAAAGCGTTTTATTTGACTGCTATTTTACACTAACCTTACGTGTACGGAGAGCTGTTGTTATGATTCGAATCTTCATGGGGTTCTCGGCGGTCTTAGGGCTGTCTTAAGGTATGTAGCGTTATGTGAATTGTTTGATATTCAACCCCTAATATTTTGCCATGAATTCATGAGCTGTGGTTGTAACTTACTATTACTTGGATAAACGATGGGTCGTATCAAAATTTAAGAGTTTGATATCGAGTTGCTTCAAATACAGGCTAGTCTGCATTTAACATACGTGCTGACTTTAAAAAAGTTATCGATTGAAATTCTTACACGTAATGGAGTACTCGCTTTGAACCCTAGCTTTTTCACTGTCTTGATTACTTGGAAGGAATTTGTCTTTTTATTACGTCGCATGAAGGAAGATCTCAGCTGCTACATAACCATTCAGGAAGAGGTATAATAAACACGTTTTGAATTTTAAGCCAATAATTGCTAGCAAAGCCGCCCAGATTGAAAAAGAGATGAGAAGGTATGGCATAGAAGTGATAGGAATCTGCGAAAGCAGATGGAATGGAAGTGAACTCTCCCAACTGTCAACTGGAGAGTCAGTAATCTACTCCGATATTGTCTCCCAGACGACAACCACGAGCACAGCACACTGAGTTTTCGAGTGCCCATCATGATGTCCCCAACACCATCGAAGGCTCTCTCTCTCTCTCATACAGTGGGAACCAATCTCCTCATGCAGGATCATTACAGCAAGGTTCAACTCTAAGGAAGGAAAGTCACAATCATACAATGCTACGCTACACACCTACAAATAATGCAGATGAAGAGAAGGAGGAGGAGGAGTTCTACAGACAACTGCAATCAGCACTGAACATGACCGCACCCCAGATGGCGACATCAAAATTCTAACGGGTGGGGTGAGATGAATGCGAAACTGGGAGTGGACAACACAGGAAGAGAACTAACCATGGGTCGAGAAGCATTTGGTGAAGTGAATGAGAATGGAGAACTGTTTGCAGACTTCTGCGCATTCAATGATTTGGTGACTGGAGATGAAGCAGTGTGTACAAACACAAGGATATTCACAAAGCGATCTGGATTTGATTTCACCAGACAACAGGACACACTAAAAATCAGATCGACTTCACGTCAATGTGAAGAAAGTGGAGACTCAGCCAACCTACCAGACACAAGATCAGATCAAGAAGGGGAGAAGATGTAGGTTCACACCACTCACTATCTAGCTTCAAAATCATGTTGAAAGCCAAAATCAAAGAAGTTGGTGATAGACGGCCACAGTTCAAGTTGAACAACCACCCAGAACAGAAACTGAACTGAACTAAACTGAACTGAAGGATGGAACTACAAAGGACATCTTCACGTGGGACAATCATGAGGACAAAATGGGAGACATTGAGCAACATCCCTGAAGGATCGGGTGTGGAAGAAGACTGGAACTCTTTGAAAGCTATATGGAAAGAAAGCTGGATAACTGTATGAGGAAGGAAGAAGAAGACACGAGATGAAAAACGGATCTCCACATGGAATCTGAGAGATAAGGGAGAGGAAGATGGGGAAGCAGAAGATGAACCGGTGCAAGGATGCACAACGAAAAGAGGAACTGAGTACAATGTATAAAACACTGGACAGAGAAGTGAAGAAGAGTGCGCGCAAAGACAAAACACACCACTGCGACACACTTGCAAGTGAAGCACAACAGGCTTCAGATAAGAGAGACAGAGAGAGACCTGACAACATTGTATCAAATAACCAGGTTACTATATGGGAGGGGAGAGATCAACGCAGATGAAACCAATTAAAGATGATGGAGGAAATTTAACTACCAGAGAAGAGAAACAAAGTAAACAATGGGCTGACCACTTCAAAGAACTCTTCAATCGACCATCACCAACATCTCCAGCTAGTCCACAAATACCACCAGTAGTTCAGCCACAGAACTAACTACCGGTGAATACAGGGCCTCGGACAAAGCAGAAGTGAAGTCCTGAACGGTATCGAGTTGCTGAAATCTGGGAAAGCAGGATGAGAAGAAGGTTTTGAAGGAAGGAAGAAACGGTGCCTGTAGATTGATTGGAAGAAGGGCTACTTTGAGAAACTTCGAAAGAAGGGAGGCCTATGTCTTTGCAGGACTAAGAACTGGCGAGGAATTATGCTGCTGTCCACCTCAAGCAAAATATTATGCGCATCATCTTAGAGAGACTGAAAGATATGTTGGATTGAAAATTATGACCGGAACAGGCTGGCTGGCTTCCAGAATAACAAATCATGTGTGGAAGAAATTGCAATGCTACCCTGCACTACGCATCATCATAGAACATAGGATGGGATGGCAGTCAACTCTCTACCTCAACTTCATAGATTTTGAAAAGGCCTTCGACAGCGTCGACCGAGAAGTGATTTGGCGGGCAGCTGCTTCAACACTATGATTTTAGTGCCACAAACCTTTATCAACCTCATTCCACAACTATGTTCTATATGATGCTATATGCCAAGTGATTCACAATGGAAAGCTCAGTAATGCGTTTGAAGTGAAGAAAAGAGTAAGACAAGGTTACCGCCTACTATCATCGATGATCTTCCTGATTGTGGTCGACTCGACTGAACTGGATGATGCAAGAAACTGTGAGGAGTGAGAAGATGGGTATACGTAGGCTTGACCGATGAAAAGATGCCTGAAGAAGATTTGGGTTTCGTCGCCGATGATGATTTATGTGTGATGTGGCAGATGTGGAAGATCTACAGGCGAAAACTAACAAGTTGACAGAGGAGACAGGATAGAGATGGGAGACCGGACTTCCTTCAGGTGAGCGTAGAGAAGACAGAGGTGATGAAGATACTCAACCAACAACAACAACAGCAAGCACCAATCACCATGAATGGGAGAAACGTAAAGGAAGTGGCCTCTTTGAGCTGTCTAGGCAGCATCTTTTCAACTTCAGGTGGCGGCACAGGCACAGATGAGGACGTCAAAGCGAGGATCGGAAGGGAAGCAGGACAGGCCTTCATTAACCCGAAATCAGTGTGGAGATCGACTGTACCACACCGCACCGCACTGCACTCAGCATAAAGCGTGAACAAGATCCGGATTTTCAACACTAATGTCAGTCAAGGATCCGGAGATTTTAATGCTGTCCCGCCTCCCGAGGTTAAGCAGTTAATGAACGGATGCCGCATTCTGGTCCCGCCACCCTGAATCTTCCCCTCCCCACCGAATCCCATTTTGCACATGAAAGTATGTGGTGGCTTGGTCATTTGTTACGTTGCAGCCAGCGTTGCTTGGTGGGACATCGGAATATACGAACCGGGTCACTACGTCTAGATAGCACTTGGCGGTCCGGATTCGCGTGAGAGCTGCTGTTTTTCTGCAACATAGGTGTAAAACTTGGGCAATGTGGTAGAATTTAATCCCTTTCTATTATTATTATTTGTCCCTTGGGTTCCTAGTTGAACATAGGGCTTCAATAGCACGTCTCCAGTGCACTCTGTTCTCTGAAATTTTTTGAACCGGGCTCCACGACTGCCCAGAAGCTCTTATTTCTTCCTCACACGATCTCTTCCATGTCACCCTCGCCTCGGACGCCCAACTCATCGCTCTCCATCTGGGTTACACTCGATGACCTGGCCTGGCGCTTTATGTCCCCAGTCGGCCTTCTCAGTGTATGCCCAATCAACCTACACTTCCTTCTGCATATTTGTTCAGCGATAGGTTCTTGGTTGGTTCTTCGCCATGCCAGAGTTCCTTGTTGCTTATTCTTTCTGGCCATCTGATCTTCAGTAACTAGCCAGCGTAGGCAGTTGTTGATGAATATCTGTAGTTTGTTGGGAATCCCTTTCGTAACGCGCCAAGTCTCTGAGCCATACAGAAGCACTGACGTGACGTTGCTGTTGAAAATCTGGATCTTGTTCACGCTTTATACTGAGTGCCGAAGATCTCCACACTGGTTTCAGGCTGATGAACACCTGTCTTGCTTTTCCGATCCTGGCTGGCTTTGACGTCCTCGTCTGTGCATGTGCTGCCTGTAGTTGAAACAGTGCTGCCTAGATAGGTGAAAGAGATAACTTCCTTTAATTTTCTCCTGTTGATGATGATTGGAGCTTGTTGTTGTTGTTGTTGGTTGAGTATCTTCATCACCTCTGTCTTCTCTACGTTCACCTGAAAGAAGTCCTGTCTTCCATCGCTGTCTTGTCTCTTCTGACAACTTGTTAGTTTTCGCCTGTAGATCTTCCAGTTTGTGCGACATTAGACATAAGTCATCGGCGAAATCTAAATCTTCGAGGTTCTTTTCTTCGGTTCAGCGTATCCCCCTCTTCTCACAGCTCTCCACTGTTTTTTGCATGATCCAGTCGACCACAATCAGGAAGATCATCGATGATAGTAGGCGGTAACCTTGTCTTACTCCTGTTTTAACTTCAAACGCATTACTGAACTTTCCATTATGAATTACCTGGCATGTGGTGTCTTCATATAGTTGTTGAATGAGATTGA